TCCATTTTTGATGAATTCTCTAGATGCCTGTGTCATATTTTTCATATATGCAACTCATCTATTTCATGTTTCCTTCCTTATATTTGATAGTATGTCTACGCTCTGTGACAAGCCCTTCAGTGTATCCCCATGTTCTCATGGGTCATCGGAGAAAATATAGAGCTCTTACGTTTACATTTAGGTCATGGATCTATCCTGAGTTCATTTTGTACAGGAAGATTGAGTCCTGTTTCACTCGTGCGCATATGGAAACCAAATTTTGCCAGCACCCTTTATTGAAGGGACTATCGCTTTCCCTTTAGTATTTTTTGGTCTTTTGTAGAAGATCAGCTTCCTGTAGTTGGTTGCGTTTATTTCTAGTTTGTTTTTTGGTTTTCCAGTTTGTGGGGGTGGGTGGTGGTTCCCTTGGTCTATTGACCTATCATTATGGCAGTACCAGGCTGGCCTGGCTACTGGCACTGTTATAGAGTTCGAGGTTGGGCTGTGTGACACCTCCTATTTAGTTCTTCCTAAGGAGTTAGGTCGTTTCCCTGTCCATATAAAGTTAGTAATTTATTTTTCTATTTCTTTAAAGAATTAAATAGGGATTTAGATGGAAAATGTGTTATATTTGTAGACCACTTTGGGTTGTCTTGACATTTTCACAATAGTAAGCACTTTTATCCACAGATATGGATATTCTTGCATTTGTGTAGGTTTCTGGGTTTTGGCCACATGTGCATAACGCTCTGTAGTTCTCTTTGTACAGGCCTTTTGTCTCTTCTGGTAAGATTCATGCAAAGTATTTAATCTCTTGTGGGCTATTGTAAATGGTCTTGTTTTCTCGATGCCCTTTTTAGCGCTCTCTTCATTAGGATGCAGGAATCCAATTTATTTCTGCTTGTTAATCTTATATCCTACCACATTGTTAACTCTTTAGATTGCTTCCAACCATCTTTTTTTTTCGAGTCTGGGATGTTCTACACATCTCACTTCCCAACAGTGAGAGCTTCACTCCTTTGTGCCTCTGGGCGCCTTCATTTCGTTTTGTTGTCTGGAGGTTCTGGCTCAGACGTCCAGCACAGTGTTCAGTAAACGTGCTGATAGGGAGCTCCTTCGTCTGCTACACGTTTGCAGGGAAAGCGCTTTCAGCTTTTCTCCGTTGAGCAAGATGTTGGCTGCTGAATTTTCTTAGATAGCCTTTATTATGTTGAGTAAAGTCCGTTCTATATTTTGTGGAGTGTTTTTGTAAGGAATGGGTGTTGGGTGTTGTCAAAAGCCTTTTCTGCATCAGTAGATATGATCAAATGATTATTGTTTTTGTTATGTGTATGTGATAATTATATTGTTTTGCTTTTCTAATGTTAAATCATCCTGATGTCCCTGTTCTAATGTTGAATCATCCTGGTATGAATCCCAGTTGATAATGATGTATTTTTGTTTTCGTTGCTATATTTCTGTAGTCTATTGGCTAGGATTTTGTTGAGAATTTTTGCATTTATGTTCATAAGGGATATTGGTTTTTTATTGGTATCAGGGTTATGCTTGCTTTATAAAATGAATTTGGGAGTTTTCTGGCTTTTTCTATATTCTGGAATAGTGTGTGTAGAATTGATGACAGTTCTCTGAACACTTAGTAGAATTCTACCGTGAAGACATCTTGCCCTATTCTTTTCTTAGTTGGAAGTTTTTTAATGACTTTTTTTTCTATTTCTTTTTTTATTATGGGTCTGTTTAGGTTTTCTATGTGAGTCTGTGTTAATTTGGGTAGATGATGTGTGTCTAGAATTTTATCCATTTCATCTAATTTTCAAACTTGGTGGAGTACAGTTTTTTTCACAGTAATGTGTTATTGTTCTTTTTATTTCATTTAGATTGTGTTGTTATGGTATCATTTTCATCTCTAATTCTAGATATTTGAATTTTTCTTTCTTTTAAGTTTGCCAATTTTGTTAATCCTTTCAATGAACTAATTTGTTGATTTTATCCATTGTTTACCTATTTCCAGTTCTTTTATTTCTGCCCTTTATGGTTTCTCTTCTCCTTTTGGTTGTAGTTGTATTTTGTTACTCATGTTCTAGTTGTTGAAGATGTTGTGTTAAAGTATTGATTTTGATTATCTCCTCTTTTTCCACATATGCATAGATTGCTATAAATTGCTTTCTGATAACTGCATTTTCTGTGTCCCAAAGGTTTTGGCATGTTGTTTTCTTGTTCTCATTGTTTCAAGG